TAGAAATATATTTTTCTCAGTTGTTCGAAAATATTTTCAAATCAAGGAATTATGTATATTGGAAAATTTATCTTTAAGTGGTTTGTGTATCAATTTTTATCCAGCAGTGTTAGTATAGAATATTTAAAAAGGGCGCGTTTGCCCTTTTAATGTGTGACGTTAACCCTCTAACTCAACAACGTAATAATATGTGTCGATATTTTAAAACATTGTTAAATGCATTTTTTTTTTAAAAAGCACCAACTTTGTACAAAATACAGATACATCTATTAAATTGGACCATTGTGTCTTGTTTTTTGTTTTTGTTTTTTAAAAACCCAGTAATCTCAATAAACATACAATTTATACATTCGTTCCACTATTCAATCAACAGGAAATTGAATAGAACACTCAAATTCTAGCACGGTTCTGCATCAGAACAAGAAAGGAAAAGCTTAATTAAGTCTTAACTGGCTTGTCCATTTTAATTAGTAGATTTTGTTGTGATAATTGTTAATTTTTCTCGCCATGCACGAGAGAGAGAGGTGCAAAAAACTCAAACTAATTATAGATAATTATGGAAGAATAGATGAAGAGCTGACAGTTCTAACTAGAATAGATAAATAATAGATAATGTAACGGGAATATTCTGAAAATTTCAGTCAAATTACTTCATCTAAGCCGAGAAATGCTTGTAGCCTCGATTATCATTGTTGTCGGAGTGACAAAAAATCTCGATTGTCCAGTCTTGCGTTTAATCGTCAGTGGTTGTTGATCGGTAGACTAGATTCAAATCTAATGAAAATCGGAAACATCAGATGACATCGAGAGTTGATTATGGTCTTGCGATGTTAAGAAATGTCTAATTCATAGTTTATATATATACCTCTTGCATAATGGGATCTAAAGCATACGCAATTAATTAGTATCGCTATTTTGTATTTACCATTTCGTTCTTTAACTCTCACGTTTTGTTTTCAAACAATATTTTAATTCAGGTTGTCTGAATGGGATTGGGGAACAGGCTTAGCCTAAGTTAAACCCCTCTCCCTAAATGATTTGTGTATATATAATATATGCAAATGGGTGTATATACATACATAATAAAATTGATGAAAATGTACAGTATATATAGTAGTTAATAATTATATAAGCATAGTAAGATTTTTTTTAATAATAAGCAACATTAGAGAGACAAGCCAAAATTATACATAAAATAGAAATAAAATACTATTTGGTCGAGATAAAAATCTGTTTAACATATCTTTAAACTTGTGGACTTGATTAAAAATTTAAGTGTTAACATCAAGACTGTAGGTTGTGGAGACGAATAAAAGACAGTTTATATTTTTAAAATCATGTTGTAGTTTGTCTATAGTTTCTGTTCGTGCATTTGAATATAAGGAACATGCAAAGGTATGCGGGACTCTCGGCAACATGTCTTAGGAATTTGTGACCCTGCAGATCAGAGCGTCGAAATCGTAATTTACAATGAATTATTTGAGGCTTTCGCTGACCGTTATAATAAAACGGCCCCAATACGCTGCCCTGTGGGACAGCAGCGGGAATTCCCCTGGGGTCCGAGGATATTCCGTTTATGACGACACATTGTTGTCGATTATCAAGATAGGTCTTGAACCCCGACAACAGCCCTCCTCTGACCCCCCTCTGACCCTAGCAGCTTCCAGCTTGTGGCAGAGTCTGGTGTCAAAAGCCTTGCTGATGTCACAAAAGACGATCCTGGTATATTTCTTATGTTCAATGGCTTGACAAAAGAAGTGATTTAGATCTATTAATTGGAAGATAGTTGAATCACCCGGAAAAAGACCACTTTGAAGCACTGTTAGTATTGAATTGTCCTTGAAGAAGTCCTTAAAGACGTGTTTATATATTATTTTCTCAAAATTTTTTATAATAACTCCCACATTGCCTACCTAAATAAGGCAATTAATTAATAAGCAATTAATTAGTATTGCTAATTTACAATTTCGTTCTTTAACTACCACATTGCATAAAAACGTGCTTTCAAACGTGCGAATAGCTAAATGAGGAATCAAAAACACACTTTTATGGATAACAATTACTATGGTTTATTTCACCGCGACGTTTCAACAAGGTTTCACAAGTCGTTATCAAGCATATACACAAATAGATAAAAAATGATTCGTTCGTTCGTTTCTGGAGTTTTACGTCCACTTCCACCTAAGGTGATATCGTAGACAAATAAAAAATGAGAAAGATATGAATATATATACAAACATCAGTGCGAACTATCCAATGGAATGCAAGGTGGGTGAGCGTGATTAGCTATAACAAGCTGGTCTAGAGTGTCACGCTTCGACCTCTAGCTGGCCGGTCACCTCTGGCTTGCGGCTGTGGTTTCGATCCCTGGTGTGAGCGTATGTGGCATGGAGATAGGGGCTCCTTCTCAACCTCGTGGGTTTACTCCGGGTACTCCGGTTTCCTCCCACACGAAAGACCCCTGCGCGTGCGCTAAGATCATGAAAATAAAAAAAAAAGACAACTTGTCTGCGATATCACCTTCGGTGGAAGCGGACATTAAACACTAACAACAACAACAAATGTGCATAATCATATATATTAGAATTGGCTTATTGTACAATTAAAAGATGAAACAGGGGATTAACCGAGATTAACAAATATTGAAACCATACACATTGTACCATAACTGAAACCAGTATATACTAAGATTGACTAAATAAACATTCAAGAAGATCAAACTGAGGGTTTAGAGAATTATATCGAAACCATAATCTTTACATTGATTATAACAGTTAAGAAATATAGAATTTTATGGTTGTGTTTTATAGTTAAGTAATAAGTTGCATATATGTATTTACAAGGTAAATATATATCAAAGTGTTGAGTAAAATATAAATAAATAATGATAAATTAAGCCGAATGCCCTATGATGAAACCTTTTATAATTATAAATATGAACGGTAAGATATTGTAATTGGGTTACATAGACATAAAATACTGTGATTAGCTAAATAAATTGTAGAAAATAATTGAAACATACAAATTTTACATATTGATAACAGAGGATTATAAAATGTGAGGGTTGTGGGTATAGAATATACAATCGATTCAGTATTGGAAAATGCCAGTAGTTAAATATGATTATGCACATTTGTTACATCAATAGCTTGTTATAGCTAATCATGCTCACCCACCTTGCATTCCATTGGATAGTTCGCACTGATGTTTGTATATATATTCATATCTTTCTCATTTTTTATCTATTTGTGTATATGTTTGATAACGACTTGTGAAACCTTGTTGAAACGTCGCAGTGAAATAAACCATAGTAATTGTTATCCATAAAAGTGTGTTTTTGATTATGTTCCAATTACTAAATGCCATTCAAAGAATAAGCTAAATGAGGAAATTTTAATCATATTAAACCATCAACTGGAAACAGTGCGTAACATACCTGCCACCTACACATCGTCAAATCTAATGAAAATCGGATCCATCAGATGGCGTCGAGAGTTGATTATGGTCCTGTCATTTTAATAAATGTCTAATTGATAGTTTATATAACATTTCAGGCCTAAAGAAATGTATGTTTAATTCAGGACTAACATGTAGTACATATTTAACAGTGGGAGAAAACCTACAAGAAGCACGTTCGCTTAGCACAGTGATTCTCAACCAGTGTGCCAGGGTACACATGTGTGCCGCGAGATCTTCGTAAGTGTGCCGCGGAATTTTGAACGGCACATTAAGAAAATTTCTCACTGAAGAAGTCAGCTATTTGACTGATGAAATTCAAAACACTACAATAAAATAAGTTCATAGCTGCGTTTTTTCTTTATTTAGTTTCAGTCATTCTATGTGTCTATGACTAGTCTCTGTCCACGGTTGTATGCCGTCTATGACTTGCCATGTTTTTATTTTGCTAAATTCAAATATTTTTCATATATATTTAGCCATGTGTGCCGCCAATTATTCATGTGTTCCAAGGTGTGCCGTTGGCAAAAAAAGGCTGAAAACAACTAGCTTAGCAAGTAATATTGGTATCGCTATTTTGTTTTAATTTACGATTTCAGTTTTTAATTAACTCCCGTGTGTCTTGGGCGTAGGAATTTTTAGCTGTGGGAGGTGTGTGTGGGGGGGGGGGGGGTCCACCAGGAAAATAATCGACCCTGCTCCTTGTCACAGACGTTGTGATCTAAAGCATACACGTTAGGAATTACGTCGCTGCTATATATTAAAGATACATTATGTAAGATTTAGATAAATAAAAAACCTAGCCATTCTTGCTATAATAGTTCGGAAGTAGATGATGTTAAATGAATAATTTGAAAATTTCATTCAAATTACTCTATTGGAAGCGAAGATATTAGCCTTTGAAGGTTTGACAAACGTGTGCAATAATTTCAACCACCGTACTGGTTGATCGAAGCTAAGTCTCGGTCCTCCATATTTGATTAAATCAAAGTATCGCTGAACCATTCTAATCTAATTTGTCGAACTATGTCACCATACTGAGAATGTTCTTTTTGAATTTTCTTTTGCATTTTCAATGAATTAACTCGCTCCAAAAGGCATGTGACACGAATCACTGTTGGTAAAAATAATTCCCGCCTCCCATAAGTTACCGGAATGTTTTTCTTCCGACAAAAATGATCCAGAGATGTGTGATCAACAACAATGGCGGATATGACTAATATGAGAGCAATGTCAAATTCCAGCTGTCAAGGATTTTTTTTTACCTTCTTGCCAACGTCTACACGTGTTTAATTCTCAAGTATTATAAATATCAATTACTGGAAAACAAAATTTATAGTTATCTACTGTGTATGATCTTAAATTAGATCTAGGCTATTTATAAAATGTATTTATTTTGGGCTTGGATTTAAAAATATAACGATAAAACGGATGGGTTTCGATAGCTGTAATATACACGTCACTTAAATAGTAGCATACCAGATACTAATGTATAATATTCACAGGTATTACGAATTTTAACAATACATAATAATAAAGGACTGTTTCTTTCTAGAATAAGATTTCTCTATTCTAAATACACTAAGGGCGTAACCTTAAAATAAGGCAAATTACTTTGAAACTAATCCAACAAAATATTCATTGTTCCGATACCTACATTTGAAATGTAATCTCCAGAGATCATTTTGAAAATGTGCCACGCCTCTTACTGGATTAGGGTTATTTTACTCAATCACAATTATTTTGATAAAGATGTTTTAAATAGTCAGTACAAAGTTATATTTCTTTCGTTAAAAATTATTAAGGTCTATACTAACATTAACATAAATATATTTAAACATGTTAAGTAAAATAGTACGATTTACTAACATTAATTAAAAAAATAGAATATCTAAACATGGTAAATAAACATATTACAGTCTATGATTTACTAACATTAATAAGACAAAGTAGAATACATAAACATGGTAAATAAACATTATTAATGTCTATACTAATATTAATATATAAATATATTTTAACATGGTAAATAAAAATACGATGATTTACTAACATTAATGAAAAGAGAAATATAATATCTAAACATGGTAAATAAACATGTCACGAAAAACCATCTTCATTAGCCCAGTCGGAGCAAAACAGTAAGAGCTAAATCTGCCTATATTGCAGCTCTCTTTCGGACATTTAAGTATAACGATAATCGAGACAAACATTTCCTGCGATAATTAACAATTTACTTCAAAAACTCATAACTTCGCACAGACTGACTGAAACTTTCAATATATTCATTTTTTCTCATTATCTTCAATTTTTGAACTATTATTGCAAGGACTAACAGCTCTAATTTTTACATAATGCATCTATAACTAAAAAAATACAAAATACCTATATCTCAATGTTTAACACCATACCCAGATTTTAAATTATATATTAATGATTTTATTCATGGCCGCTGAGAACGGTCTTTGGCTCTTGTAGGCAAAAATCAAACTTCATCACAGTAAGCCTCTGTTAGGAAACTGGCCAACCTGATATATCGAATTCCAACTGCTATACGACTATACGTTTTCCCTTGCCAGGCCCTCGGTCCTGCACCACTAATAAGGTGGAACCACACTGGAAAATCCCAATGAACTTTCTCGGCCAACGTAGGGATCGAACGCTGGACCTCCGGGTTAGCCAGACAGCGTGGCTCCCAGATCCAACAGGCGGGATGGAGTTGTTTTGTGTCGCTCTCGCATTAGTCATAATTTTTGAACTCAGATTTTCATCTTAAAGCGTATACAATGCCATAGCTTCCTTTGGCAGTGTTAAGCATATTCTGATTGCCTGTAAACATCTTAAGGCAATTAGATCGAAGCATTACCGCTGACCTTACAACATCTGTATGCGCAACCGGGTCTATATGATAAAGTTTTAAACTTTTATAGAAAATTTTAATTGCAATATATAACTTAATTCCATGTTTATTTGTAAGTTTTCTTAATGATCGAGACATTGAGTAATATATTGATACTGAGTGAGGGCGTTTAAATACGGAAAATATCCTACACCTGCATTTCAATGTCCAATATTTGAAATAATGGTATGCTAACATTGAAGGAGGACGTCAAGTCTGTATTTTTAGTATAATATATATTTATTGTGATATATATTGTAACAACAAAAGGGCCACAAGCCCGAGTGTTTTTACAATATATTACGCAATGGCTTAAGCAAGAGACTGTGCTTTTATAGTGAAATACATCACGCGAGTCCAATATTTCACTAGTATAAATAATGTACAATTGACAAGTTACCCGTACGATTATTTTAAATAATGATACGACAAATTCAAAGGGTGACGTCACACAATTCTTACATAATACATCTGTAACTAAACATGTTATACAAAATAAAATACATGTAACTAATTCTGAACACATTATACAAAAAAGAAATTTAAAAAAATACAAATTATTGTAACTTTTTTCTAATCTAGTTCAGCCTAATATAAATTGCTATTTATATTTACGGGGTTAATAAATCAACATGAACATAATCAATTTTATTCCATTTACATATTTCTGAACTTAAACAAAATTTAAAAGTTCTTGGGTATGGTATGGCATATCCCCGAAACATTGTCCCGAGTCGACAAATCCGTGAGTTGGATTAGGTCTAATTAAACGAAACACTCCGAGTAGTATGTGGATATGGATGAAATACAATTCTTTTTGTAGATACGCCGTACATGTTTTTATATGGGGTTCTGTTTTCACATTTATCCAACCGGGTTTACATGGACAAATGCTACACGTTTTAAAAGAGAAAGACTTATCTTAGAAATTTCAACTGTAAATAATTACATTTTACTCATATTTATTGTAATTTAATTATATTTAATTGACTGTGATATATTTGATAGTGATAATGTATGATGTTAAATATTTACTGATTTGTGATGATATTTTGAAATATACATAACTTATATCTTGTGATTTAATTTAGTCTGTCTCGCAAAATTCACTACAAAAAATCTGAAAAAAAACAGAGCCTGCTATTATATCAAGTGCAATTAGAGTAAACAAATCTAAAGAAAAGAAAAATTAGCGCCTGCTATTGTCGCATAGTAACCGACTTCCTTCCGGACCCTTCCTCCACATCCTGTTCTACAATTAAACCAATCATATCGCAGCGATGTGTCAAGCGGTTTTGTATAATTCAATTTAAAATACAGATGTGACGTCATCCTTTGATATTGGCGTACCATTATTTCCAATAATGTACGGGCAACTTGCCAATCGTACACTTAATTGATGGAATATTGGACTCGCGTGGCGTATTTCATTGAAAAGCACGTGCGGGATAGTGTCTGTATTTTAATTTGTTTAATGGTCTCGAGCTAAAGACATTGCATAATATATTGAAACAACACTCGGTTAACGCCTCGTGCAGTATCAATATATTACTTAATGTCTCGCTCTCGACCATTTAACCATACATAATTATCGTAGATAATCTACTGAAATCGCGTACAGTTATGTTAATAGCGTTATTTATGGCCATTATTAAACATACGTTATGCAAGAGCTAAATCTGCCTATTGCAGGTCTTTCTTCAGGCCTGAAATGTTATATAGCCTATTAATTAAACATTTTATTAACATGACAAGACCATAATTTAACTCTCGATGCCATCTGATGGGTCCGATTTTCATTAGATTTGAATATGATCTTCAGTCCAACGGTCGTTGATGATTAACCGAAAAATGGATCGATCGACAAACACTATATTTCGTGTGCGCATCAGTAATTTCTTAGCTAGTACAGAAAAAAATCAAGGCTTTCTGACCTACTTTTTTTTCGATTTTTTCAAAAATTTGATCCTTAATTTCTCCAAGAGAAATAAGTTGGGAAATTTCTAATATCGTTAAGTTGAATCAATGAGGTCTACTTACGTTCCAAATTTCATGAAAATCGTGCAACTATTAAAGAAATGAAATGAAATGGGTTTAACGTCCTGTTGTTCTGCTATGAGGGAAATTTTGCCCGGACAGCGGCACTATGGCCGCGGCACTGTCAAGGGATCTATTACTTGCACGTCAATGTGTACACGGGACCTCGGTTTTTCGTCCCATCCGAACGACTAGACAGCTGTCCGTGTCAGGCCCTCCGTCCTGCATCATTGACAAGGGGAACCACGCCGGAAAATCGTGATGAACTTTCTCGGCCAATGCAGGGATCGAACAACCGACCTCCAGGCTAGCAAACCGAGCGTCATACCCACTTAGCTACCGTGATCCCTAACAATTAAAGAAGTTCTCAAGTTGGTCGCAACTTCCGGATCGAAATCAAAGCGACGAATTTTGAAAATCGGAAATTGCAGGTGGAAATGACTTTTTTTTCAGGGCACCCATAAAAGAAAGAATTAGTAAACTCGGTCAAAAAAACACACAGTTTTTTTTCCGTTCGCAAAATTCGGTGAATTCGAATTCGTAAAAAGCTTGAAAAATATATTTAAGCGATAACCACCACCCATTCTTTTGGGTGGTCTCTCAATTTAAATAAAATGTAAACTGTGACATTTAATTAATATTGAGTGTAATAGTTTGTAACTGCACTTCAAATACCCAAAGCTGCAAATCAAAAGTTGATTTGATTAGCCAAAAATAAAGACAGTTATATTGTTTTCTGCAGTCAAATGGGTACGACATGGTACCGGCTTCCGTGAATATGGCATAAGCTAACCGCCTACAAATCAGTTAATATACAATCACGTTACGCAGTTGTATGTGGTAGAAATCGAATCGGCGCCCCCGAAAACATACATTTGGACACCAAAGACGACTACGTATTCAAAATCAACACACCGTCCCATTTTCTCCACCACAAATGACAGCCATATTGGAAATATGCTAAATATATGAACATGTCATTTTACAAGGTTGTGAATGTCATAAATGGAATATACGCCCCCGAAAACATATATATTTATACTAAACACTACTACTTAATCAAAATCTGCACATCGTCCCATTTTCCCCGCCAAAACTGGCCGCCATCTTGGAAATATCTTCATGAAGTGATGAAAATATCAGAAATATGGTCATGACCCCCGCCAATATTAATACAGTGCCAAATCATAGTTGATATATCGATAACATTATAAATAAGCTGAAAATAAAAAAAATGAGTTGGAATATTATCGCAAAATGGCTACCCTCCAAATAACGGCGGCATGGCGCCCCATACTACGAATACATACTCAGAAAAAATGTCAACATTGTTCTTTTGTTACTAAACGTCGAAATCTTCAAAGTAAAGCTTGTTCCACGATTTCTACCCGAAAACGCGACGGAAATATAATACAGATTTAACTATTCATTTGTATACAGTGTAAAGTTGACCAAAAATATGACGAATGGCGGTCATCCCTCTCTTATTTTAATCTACATTTTTAATATTTTGTCCAGGATAGTTAGTTTGGGGAGCTATTTGCAGCAAACAGAAATTCTGTTGCATTTATTCTAGGCCAAACCACGGAATTATAATACTGATTGAACTATTAATTTGTATACAGCGTAAAGTTGACTTCTTGAAATGTAGGAAAGACATCATTGCCGCAGTAACATAGTATATCAATCAACTTTATAGCTTTACTTGGTGTCGTTGACATTTCTGTTACGTTCCAGATCTTTTTCTAATCCTACAAAGCCGCGTGATTTAAAGACTTTTCGGATCTCAGGAAGGACACCTTTGCCGCGGTCACACAGTATATCAACCAACTTTATAGCTGAAACACGTTTACCCCTCTCTTTATGTACCGTCAATTCCGCTATATCCACATCATTTATAATCCCCCTTTTCTTTAGTTCCTCATTTATACCATCTAAGTCATACTGGATATTAATAACAATTTTGGTTCGACAACGTTTCCATAACTCAAAGTCGTCGTCTTTCATTCTTCCACTCCATTTCAGATCTGTTTAAAACAATATTTTCTAATGTAAACAGTGCTTTATATTTTAAGGTTCTAATCATGGAAATATTTTAAAGTGTTAGTAATAGAAATGAAATGAAATGAAAAGGGGTTTAACGTCCTACTGTTCTGCTCCGAACTGGGCTAATGAAGACGGGCATACGCCATACAGTGCGCTATGAGGGAAATTTTGCCCGGACAGCGGCACTATGGCCTACTCTTATATCGACTTCCAACTGTCAAGGGATCTTTTACGTGCATGCCAATATGTACACGGGACCTCGGTTTTTCGTCCCATCCGAACGATTAGACAGCTGTCCTTGTCAGGCCCTCCGTCCTGCATCACTGACAAGGGAAACCACGCCGGAAAATCTGGATGAACTTTCTCGGCCAGCGTCTTACCCACTTAGCCACGTGATCCCCGTTAGTAATAGAAGTATGTATTAAGAGTGCTTTATTTGTTTATGGTTCTAATCATGGCAATATAAGAGTGCTTTAGATTTTAAGCTTCTAATTATGGAAATATTTAAAGTGTTGATACTAGAATTATGTATTACGGGTGCTGTATACTTTAAAATTCTATTAGTGAAGGTATTTATTTGGTGTGTTTTAAATTTAAAGTTCAAGTAATAATTCCATCAATTAAAATAATGTATTATGTGTATTGCTGGTGTTTTATTTAAAGTTCTGTTAGTGGAAGTATTTATTTGATGTGTTTTAAATTTAAAGTTCAATTAAACATTCCATTAAGTAAAATAAAGATCAGGCACCGAGAAGTAAAAATACAAATTCCAGTTGCCAGTTCTGTAAAATCAAGTATTAACAGGAAGTTTATATCCTCTCATCAATAGAATGTGGTGCCATATGCTCACGAAAACGATCTATTTTGTGTTTCTACAAATCAAGCAACCGTTTTAAGAAGTGGGTGTGCTTATGGTAAACGAGTGGGCTAGGGGTGCACATATGCTGGTCGTTAACCCACGTTCGTACATCCAATGGTCTTGTTATTGTAGATGCACATTAATACCACGTTTCACCCCTCTCCCTAAAAAATAACAAAATCAACCAACCCGATGTAAGCTTATAAGCTACTGCTGTCAGACCACAAAATTTCAGTACTGGTATAATTTTGTCAACCATACTTTCGCAATTTTCCGATAACAAATTTATCAGTTTGTATGCACCACTGGCTTTGTTAACATCAGCTGTGCTGTCAATTTCTGCTTTAGAAGTTCTATCTAAGATTTGTTCTTTGGATAATTTCTGTGTTAAAGCGCCCAACTTATCTCTCAGTTTCTCGATTAAATAAGTCTTGTTCCTCATCCATATTTTATAGTGTTCATATCTCATTGCTTTATTCTGCTCTGGACCTGTTAACAATATAGAAATGCTGTATGTTTTAACTAATCACAGTGATTTTAGCAAGACTTCAGAAAGAAAAGACTAATGATCAAGAAGCAATACACAATAACACATACTTATGCAAAAACAGCCACTTATTTATTTGGGCGACGTTTGGAGGAGTATTCTCTCAAAGTTATCAAGCTAATACAGTAATATATCAAGCCAATACAGTAATATAAAATATTGAGAGGTAAATATATACAGAAAAATTTAAAACAATAAAACTGAAACAATACATGAAATCAACAGGGTCAATGGACATGGACTCAAGAGGGTGATAATCTACTAAGGAACTATTCAACTTTTATATATGGCGAATAATTAGTACATTTCGTATACTTGAGGATAAGGTGGCAGTTATTTCTAAGTGGTGTTAACTAACAAACGTTCGACGAGGTATTCGATCCTTATAGTTGGGTAATAGATCCAACGGGGTAATCTTAGACAAATAGGCTGGGGAATGAAAAGTAAAATCGATCAACTCGACTTCCTCCCTCGCCGCGTTGATTGTCCCTTGACCCTGTGTTCGGTGCCTGCCTCAACGAGAACGACATACATATTATATATCTCAGTAGCCTCTCAGTGACTGCCACAAATATTACTGTAGCCATTTAATCATCATAACGTGTACAGGCTCAGGTATATCGGAAATTCAATAACTTACCTGCCACCGCTGTTATTTTCGGTAGATCAAAGGTTTCCAGAACAGCATTGATTTCAGCCAGAACATCAGTTCCGCGTTCAGTTAAAATATCTAATAGTTTAATTGCTTGAGTTCTTTTACCAATCTTTAGATGTATAGCCAATTCTTTATTATCCACATCGTTTATGATTAACCTTTTTCTTAATTCACCAATAATGGCCGGGGTCGTTAGGAAGTCATTTACCAAACGGATGTGGTTATGGGTCCATATTTCATAATCGTCATCTTTCATTCTTTGACTTCTTTTCAATTCTAAAAAACAAATCAACATAATACTGAAGGATGCAACTACACTGACCTCTAGTCTATATGGAAATACTGTTTTTCTCCTTCATAGGATCCTGTCGTTTTTCATAGCCGAGGTCGAAGTCGAATGAATAATTTCCCGAACGTGTCACTAAATGACGTGACCCGTCGATTCAGGCGAGTGAAAAAAAAACTGATTTTCTTGGAAATCTCGTGTGTCTGTCGAAATAACATTGCCCACATTCAGTGAATGGAAACATACATTAGGCATACTTTGTAAAGCAGGTGGTGGGATGTAATATGGTTGTATTTAACCAGGAACAGAGTTAAAATGCTTAACCTCGTAGACATGCTCAAAGAAACGTATATTTAAAATATATATACTTACCTAATTCAAGTATTTTCTTAGCGTCAGCAAAATTACACGATTCAAAAGCTTCCATAATTTTCTGAAATGAATCATCACCATATTCTGATAAATAATCAACCAGCATGTTGGCACCACTTGGTAGGTTTGTCTTAGCTACACCAAGAATCATTCCTTTCATGGCTCCATCTAAAACATTCTTTTCTCCAAGCTTATTTGTTACATCCGTAAGTTTATCTCTGAGTCCGGTAATTAAAAAAGCCTTATTTCTCATCCATGCTCGATATTCCTCATACTCTAGCGGTTTAATGGTACGAGTATCTTTAAAAAAAAAAGGCGAGATTGTTAACAACTTGCTACAACGAATAGATGCGCAACTGGGGTGATACTATAGAACTGCATGTTTACTTTAATGGTTGTTTGTTTACGAACCGCTTACATTTTTTTAGAATACGTTTTGCAAGTACTACCGATTTATGTACGGGGCCTGGAGCTGGACAATCGGGATAACTCCCTACTTCCATTATGTAGACGTTGTTTTCAAGTGAAAAATGATACAATTTCCACGTACCGTGGGCGAGTAGAAATATTGCAAATAGAATAATTCCAATGATTGTGTAATAGTATTTGACAACATATTAAGCAACATATATAAAAATAATTATGTTTTGACTTTCTTAGAAAACCTGGAATTGTCGCTTTAAATGGGGAGTCCCAGATTTTGCAGGGCATCGTAAATAAGATTATGGTTAAATTCTTTGAACGCCACCTGTATTCTTCACTGCACTCTTTTGATTGCCGCGGGGGACTTGATAATCGCAACAAAAGCAATTATACAGACGTGGTTTGTAAGACGTGAATTTGAAGACTAATGACTAATCCCAGATTGTATTTCTTCGAAAATATATGCTAGAATAAATGTTGACAAAAGTCTTTCAACTTGAAATGACCCGTTTTATTTACCAAAGTTATGTGTCCTTTTAGTGAGTTTAGAGTTACCTGAATATGCTTAACATTATTGTTGCGCGCCGTATCATAAGGTCTGTCATTGTATCAATTGGCGGGGTTTCGATTTCCCGGTTGTACGTTACAAGGAGTAGAGTCGTCTGTTCAACCTCGTGGGTTTTCTCCGGGTCCTCCGGTTTCCTCCCACTGCTAAAGACCCATACGCGCAAGCGAATTATTGAAATAAAATTGAACCATGTGTTAGTCCAGAAATGACCTAGTTCGTGTCGAGTGAACGTTAAACCCCATTTCTCCCTCTCCCTCTCTTTCTTAAAATTATTTTAATTTATTTTCTTGTTAAAATTAATATGTCGATTGCACGTGATTCTATAGTTTTTCTATCTTTTAATATTCTGTACCAAATTAAATGGGAACCGCTCACCTGATATCGTTATCATGGGTTTGCTTTCGTCGTTTCCTGAAACAGAATCAAATGGTCACAATAATGAAAATTATTTACAATCCGAACCACGTTCTCGTTTCATCTTAAAATACCGTCCATGTGTTTCAAACAATTCTAGCGTTCCGAAAACAGCACCATGAGGCAACTAATGATTAAACTACCAAGGTTCCATAACTCCCAATGCCGGGAGAGAGAATATTGCATAGTGGGAAATCATATGTCCATTTTGCACCTATCCCAAACTAAAAAATTGCATCTATATATCATCCTCTGGGAATCGATACCGAGGATTACGGTAAGACTCGTGTTAAATTTTATAGAATAAAATAAATGAAATGTTATCGATAATGGCACCTCACATATCTAGCGGTCACCAAACGCTACTCATCGGCGCACTTCGAAAAAAAAGCCTAAGGCCCGCTTTCCATGTACGTTTTTGCGCCAGAGGAAAAACACAGTGTTTCCGCGAATGAATTGTTGTATTTCCATGTGTACAGACAAATCACTGAAAAGTTTAGGGAAATCCCATCTAAATGACGTCATAAGTGAGGATTTCTCTGTGCAGTATGGAGCCAGAAATGGTGGGTGGGTGTGTGGGTGGGTGCGTGTGTGTGTAATAATTTCTATTTTAAATGTTCATATTTGCATAAATGATTGGGTGTTGTTGTTTTACTGTGATACTGTGATATTGTTTATATACTCTTCAAAAAAGTAGGGGATATTCAGAAACAATACAAAACTGCAGAAATGATATAATATAAATTGTTGTTGTTTATTACAATTTGACGTTTACAAATTGGCGTGATATTATGGACGACAGGCTAAATATCAAATATTTAAAGGTTAGAAACAATTTTAAAAGTAAACAACAATACTTGGTTAATGCTGGCCAACCAGAAAACATCTAATGTATACTCGTCAAAAAAAGTAGGGGATATTCGGAAACTATACAAAACTGAGGAAATACACTGCTGTTTTTATTAGAGGTAACCAGTGTATGTTAATAACAGGCGAATTGCCTACACATGAACATAAACAGTTCATATGGGCGGCTTATATGACGGCCCCATTTCACTCGCAAAGAGATACACTGTCAAAAGTGAAAATGGACGTTTTTGATTTTTGTCTTAATAATGAGTAATAGCTCCACTAATCCTCAGACATTGAGCAATTCGTCGTGGCATGCTCCTAATCAACCGTCCAATCACGATTTGAGGCAATCTGACCCACTCCTCTTGCAGTGCCACGGCCAATTCTTGCAGTATTGTCGATTGACGTTGACGTCGACGAACACGTCTCCCGATCATTTCCCAGACATGCTCTATAGGGGAAAGGTCAGGACTCATGGCTGGCCAAGGCATATGGACAATATGGTGGCGCTGGAGGTAGTCATTCACGACACGAGCGCGGTGTGCACGGGCATTATATCTTGAAAGATGAAACGTCGACCTGCACGTTGAGCAAAGGGTAGAACTATCGGTGCCAGGATGTGGTCACGGTAGTGAACCCTCCTTGAACAATATGCAAGTCCGTTCTGACAGTCATGGTGATTCCTCCCCACACCATAACAGACCCACGCCTTAATCTGTCATGCTGTCTGACGTTAACGTTAGCATGACGCCATAGGCGTACGGGCTTGATGACAGTTAGGGGTGCAGGAACCCGAAATGCCCGAAAAAATTTCGGGTTTACAGACAGCGGCGCAGTCTTCCTCGAGAAGAGAAGAATCGGAACTTACCTTGTGTAGACTCCCCCCCCCCCCCAGAAAATTTTGGAATATTTGACGGCTGCAAACACGTTTTCCCGCTATTTCAGCCCGTGAACAAAGCAACTTCAAAGTGGTCTAATATAGGCTAATTAAGATGGCTGGCTCGAATTCCAATCAAAAGATCAATAGTTTACAGTCCACGGAGACGGGACCGTTGTGAGAAAATGTTGAAAATTTAACTGCCGCACACGCGTTTTCCGGCTATTCCAGCCTGTGAATACAGCAACTTCAATTTGGTCCAATATAGCCTGCCTGGCTGACCCGAATTCCAAACAACCTATCAATCGTCGCGGGGTATGGGGGTCTTACCCTCTCGGAGAAATTTTTGAAAATTTAACCACCGCAAATGCGTTTTCTGCTATTCTAGCCCGTGTAAGCAATTCCAAAAGTATCCAATGGTTTTGTAACCCAAATCCCATTCTGAATTCCAACCATCCAATCAGACTGTTGCAGTTACATTCACAGATCATAATCGATGCCCGAAACATGTCGCACAAAGTAGAGTGGCTCCAGACAAAATGTTTTAATCCATAGTCAACTCAGTACAAATTCGTGGTATTCAATTAAAATAAAAATAAAATTAGTGTTTTATTAGGGCTCGATGACAGGGAAGCAAAACTAGAAATGCCCGAAAAAATTTCAGGTTTACAGACAGCGGCGCTGGTTTTCTTCGAGAGGCGAAGAAGCGGAGCTGACCTTATATAGACCCCCCAAGAAAAGCGTTTTACTGCTATTCCAGCCCGTAAAATTAGTGTTTTATTAGATTTCGGGCACTTTATTTTGCCAAGTAGAGAAATAATTTTTTTTTTCACTTTACCCGTCTGCCCGAAATGTCAGCTTGCCCCCCTGGCTCGTACGCCTATGCATGACGCTCATTTACACGCCTCCAAACGCGAGCACGCCTATCGGTGAAATCCAGAGTAAATCTGGACTCATCTGAGAACACCACACGCGCAAATCGACGATTACTCCAATTTCTACGCTGCCTACACCATTGACTCCTATTTGGCATGTGCTGGCGAGTTAATGGAGGCACAAAACGCGGTCGTCGTGCGTGCAAATTGGCTGCATGTAGCCGATTTCTAATCGTTTGTGGTGTAACTCGAATTCCTGTAACTTGGTACAAGTTTACAGAAAGCTGATTGGTCGTTTGTCCTCGATTTCGCAGGACCTGTGTACGAATGTATCGATCCTGGGCTTGTGTAGTGGCTCTGGGATGACCTTTACAAGGTCTATCATCAGCATTGTGTGTTTGTTGGTACAGGTTCCGCAGTCTGCTGATCACAGACTGTGAAACATTAAGCATGTTGGCTACTGCTCGCTGTGTAGAACCCATGTGAAGCATACCAATAGCACGTAGACGTTCATCATGTTGAAGACGTATCATTGCAAATTAAACGTAACACACTAAAGTAAAGATATGCTAAACAGTAAATCTTATGCAAGAGCCGATAGGAAAGCAAACATCCATAGGATAAACCAGCACGCGGCAGTTTTCATCAACCCTTCCTTGAAGTGTCAAATTTGACAATGAACCCCTCCCACGTGTATGGCGCTATTGCGTGTCGCATGTGTAGACCAGTGGTTCTGTTGGGGCGATAAGTTCTTCATATGTGAACATACTCTCAAAGCATGTCAAGTGTCCATGACTATTTATCATATCACAACCTGCATAGGTATTTCCATCTGAAAATCCCCTACTTCTTTTGAAGAGTATATTTATGCATATAAAATTTTGTGATATGATTTAGCTTGTCTCGAAACAATCGACATATGTTTGGCGCAATATAGCTCTGTTGGTGCTCACGTGCCATTAAACCATATTTCATTCACTTATTAAAATTATTTAATTTTCTTTTCTTTTTGAAATTGTATATTTCGATTACACGTGATTTGAATTCAATCGTCTCAAATTATACGGGAATTCCTTACCTGGTGTGCTTTCGTCGTTTCCTGAAACACAATCAAATGGTTACACAATTCATGAAAATTATATTATTCACATGGTATTGGGGTTATGTTCTTGTATTTCAGCTTGTTTACAACCCGAACCACTATTTCGTTTCATCTTAAAGGGGTGGGGGGCGACGATTTTCAACAAGGTTTCTATAAATCTTAAAGGAGCTAAGTCGCTAATATTTGGGACTTAGAAATTGACACAAATGGGTCACACTGCATACAATAATGTAATCGTTTCTGTTTTTACTGTAATTTCTAATCAGTTAGTTTCGGCGAAATATTCCAGTATTCTCAATCGGATTTCAATCTCTAGCGTCTGGTTATTCCAGTCTACGGCGTTAGTATTTATTGGGCATGCTCTCCAGATAAGAATATAGCGTCACCGTTTGACATGACTTGTGGAATATGCCTAGCCTCGTTTTTCGAATCCATTGTTACAAATGGCGCTGAAACGTACTATGGTACACGATTCGTGTACCAATTGTAAAATGTTTATTTTGTCTTAAATATTGGATATCAGAAGGCCATCAATGTTGATTTAAATTGACAAATAATTCGTGTTTTCAATGTCGAAGATTTTGGATGATACTGAGTTAGAGACTTAGCTACTTTAAATATATATGCAAAACTATATCCTCTGGGATTAGGATGAAATTCGTGTTAAATTCTATAGAATGAAATAAATGAAATGTCTCTTCTGAACATTGTCTCTATTTGCAAATAATCAGCTACTCAATTGTCCGAATATTTGGACCAGGAAATGGCCCGGAAGCGCTACTCATCGACCCATTTCGAAATACTTTCCATGTACGTGTTTTCTTCGGCAGAGGAAAACACAGTGTTTCCACGAGCGATTTCTTGTATTTTCGTGTGTACAGAAAAATAGTTGAAAATTTTGGGGAATCTCTTGTAAATGACTTCATAAATGAGAATTTCTCTGTACAGCATGGAGACAGACATTGTTTACGCTCATTCTCCACCTTCTTATAATACCACCATGTCGAGAAACGCTTACATGGAAACGGTCCGATTATATTTGCATTAGACCGACTTTTTCGCCGGTGGAAGGCGTACATGGAAAGCGGGTGTAAAGCCCTGACATTTCAAGTACAATCGTCATGCAACATGGCATTGGTGTTTCATGGACAATTGTGCAGCGATTGAGGGACGTCACAATTTCAAGATGGCGGTGATGACGTCATGCTCGGTTCCTGGTCCATGTAGTACTATCGAACTTGTTTCATATACTCACGTCGTTTCCTTCTTATAATCACTGCTACTAGTACTATTACCAATGCTGCCAGGACAGGTAGCACCAATCCTATTGGCCAATATATAGGAGCAGGTTGTACAATACTATGTACAGTTGTATTCAAAGCTGTAACATTACAAAATATATCAATTTGACAACTTCAATCTCCATAATTTGTTGGAAAGCAACATAAAAGACACATTAAACATAAAATACCATCACTGACACTTGAGTCATTAAAGATACATTAGTCAAGAGTTTAATAAAGAGTTGGTCATTCTTGCTATAACAATTCAAAAAAGGTGATAAAAAAAAAAGAAAATATTGAAGATTTCAGTCAAATTACTTTATTCTGAACGACGTTATCACCGTTGGGAATTTTGACTAGAAATAGGTATTAACTGTCTCCGCACCGTCTCCGAGAATTGACGACTGTTTGATTGACCGACGATAACTCCACCCACATATTCTCGATTATCAAGTAGCTTTCGCAATGGCTACGACACCCTCCATTGTCAGTCCTTCCATCGGCAGTCCCCGGGAGTGACGTCAGTGATTAACGGTAAATTTTTGGCTTGGTCAGCCATTTATTGATTTAATTATTAAATGGACAACTGTTTAAATCCAAGCTGTGTCCAAGCCATCCGGGGATCTACAGAGTTGGTTTTGAGCAGGTTTAATTAATAATTTCTTTAACATCCGAACTCCGAAGCCTACAGAAAGACTTGCAATAGACAGATTAAACTCTTAACTAACGTATCTTTAATCTGAATTTTTCTAAATAACGACGAAAAAATGTGCATGTAACGATTATTAATTTAAGTTTCCTTAATTTAATGGCATCTTGAAGTACGGTTTAATATTCAAAACACATCACAAAGTGTATGGATCTAAGTTAATCTGTGCTATTTATTAACGACGTTTCGCTACACATATAGACCACGTTTTCAACTTAATGATAAATGTACATTTTTTATTTATATTAGAGAACTCTGGTTTATTCATGTCCACGTTGTCGCAAGTACGTGAAGTAAGTGTTCAAATGGACGCCTTGCTGTGGTTAAATTCTCCATACGGGAACTTGCACATTTCATAATGACTTTCTAGCTCAGGGCGGGAGAGGTTATTCGTAAGGGGTATGGACCTAACAGGAAACTGCAATCAAAAATTCTATCATCGTCATCTTTTGTACTCGCAGTTATATTTCTGCATTTACATAGCATACGTGTTATTATAGTAGTGGCACTCAATGCAGAGTATGCTTACCCGTTTCGAAACACCCGAATCTATTGTTCATGTTTACATAGAAATGCGCTCTTTTCTTTCCACAAAATCGACACCAACGAATAATAACAGAGTCTATCACTGTCAAATGGCAATATGTGACGTTTGCTTAATTTGGAGTCATAGTTGCTCAAAGAGGAGTCAATGCGACTGGTTCCCAACCGACTAGCAAGAAACAACATCTAATCGTTCGAATGGTGAAATGAAATGAAATTGGGTTTAACGTCCTACTGTTCTGCTCCTAACCTGGGCTAATGAAGACAGGCATACGCCATACAGTGTGCTATGAGGGAAATTTTGCCCGGGCAGCGGCGCTACGGCCTACTCTTATATCGAATTCCAACTGCCAAGGGATCTTTTACGTGCACGCCAATGTGTACACGGGACCTCGGTTTTTCGTCCCATCCGAACGACTAGACAGCTGTCCTTGTCAGGCTCCCCCCCCCCCCCATCCTGGGAAACCACGCCGTGATCCCCCGTTCGAATTGTACGTTTAACCAAGATCAAGTATACAGGTTGACGTGTACCCAAAGAACCGTTGACTATTTTTCGCACTACGCAGCATGGTGTATATCCATCTTTATTGAATGCAGAAAAGTAGGTCGTTTAACACCATTTTACTTTACTTGAAATGTAAATCCTACTACATGTATGTCGTAATATCATAGTTTGCAAGGGATTCAATTGGACAATCAGGGGCTTTAACTGAATTAATTAGAAAATTTTAATCACGTCAAAATTGCTTTTTTGAAGATAGCAATTTAAAGGTTTTTGAATTTTTTTTCATAATTTTGAAATATTTATTGACTTACGGGTTATTACATGGAGACTTATACCAGAAGAATTTGCTTGTCCATCAGAAAATGTAACTTGACAGGTGTAGTGATATTCTGCATCTTTCATTGTTACATTCCGCCATATTAGAATTACGTCCCCTTCCACACCATTTGTCACGGGCTCTTCGCTTATATTAAATTGTAGTTGCCTCTTATCATCTTCTAGTGTTAGTTTAAAATATGTTGATTTTTTCCAGAATCCAACGCCGTACTAAGAAATACATTTATTACAATGATTTGTTTTAAATATTAACTAATTAGTACACATGTATAGCACTATTGCTGTCACATGAAGGATTAAAATAAACTGTATTAACAATTTTGTATGTTATTCTGACATGAAGGATTAAAAAAACATGTAAGGACAAAGATGAAGTGCATTAAGTGTGGTTTTACGGTCGAGAGCGAGACATTAAGTAATATATTGAAACAACACGAGGAACGTCATTTTTAGCATCAAGCTAGGTTTTTTAGCGTTAGTCAAGTAAGATTCTGATGTTTAATTTTCAGTCAAGCCAATATCACTCGACCGATTATGTCGCTTCTTGAAACAGCTGAGTTATTTTTGGGCGATCTGAGATGCAGTCAAAATTACGACGACGAATCGTGCGCGTAAAAGCTATCGCTAATCAAGTCAAGATCACATGATATTTTAGTTTGAGCTGATTGGTCAAACAAATAAATTGCTCAAGGATTGAGGTACGGTTTTAGAGCGACGTGCAATTCTTTCTCGTTGAATATCACAATTGCTTGATATTTGCAACTAGTCTCCGATATTTTGTTTGAAGGTTCTTTTTCTGATTCCTAATCGGTCTTCAGAACATACATTACTTCCTCGTGTTGATTTACGAAACGGTATAGGGTTTTTGTGGGCCTACCTTGCGATCTGACAAATGGGTACGTGTAAATATAACGGCTTCTGCTGGGAAATCATAGTGATAATGCCATACAAATATGACATCTTTTGTAAGATAATCGCTAACTGTGGTAGTGTTACTATAGACAGTTGCTCCTTAAATAAACAAAACAAAAATTCAGATTATCATAGGATATTTCTCGTTTATTTTGATATAAAAAAAGAACTAAGTCAGAGTCATAAAAATCAACTTTTCCCCTTTGCGACACATTAAAAATTTAGATTTAGATAAACGACTGGTCAACCTCGCTGTAATAGTTTAAAAACAGATAACAAAAAATTAATATATTATTGAAAATTTCAGTCAAATTACTTTATCCTGAGAGAAGATATTTCTGTGTGTAGTTTGACAAAAATAGCGTAGTCTCGGTCAAATGGTATAGGTGGTCTAATCCACTTAATATCCAAGTCGTCCGTGGTATAGAGTGTTGTCACGTGAATAGATGTCTAAATAAAAATGTATATAAACCTGTAATAAGCAGATTTAGCTCTTACATAATGCATCTTTAACGAGAATCGTTTGCGAATCAGATTAGTGTTTAGGATCACGATAGCCTTAAACTGAACATCAGGGGCCTGTTTCACGAAATTTTAACTAAGATAAAATCCAAATTTTAGTAATTTGATTGGATATTATTAAATTGATTTTAGTCCTTAGCCAATCAAAATTGAAGTATCTACTAAAATTTGGATTTTATCTTTAGTTAAAATTTCGTGAAACAGGCCCCAGGCTACCAAAACGTTTCATTATCTGCGGAACTTTTAACAAATATCTTTTATTAACGGAATTAAAAGAATAAAATACGGGAAATGGCTCTTACATTCCCATTAACTATAGTGCCTGGGATCACACGTGAACGTTATCTGCGAATTTGACAACAAAAACGACGAGAAATATGATCTATGTTAAGATTGTGGGCGTATAAATGTTTGGGTCAAACGCTACTCATCTTATTGTGTTTTTTGCGAGCGAGTGGGGCGCGGTGACTCACCTACAGGTCCTGTGTTCATCGGGATTTTCCGGTTGACAATAGACAATGTATAGTTTTTCGGATAGGATAAAAACCGAGGTTCCATGTACACATTGGCGTGCACGTAAAAGAACCCTCGACAGTTCCAATTCGGGATAAGAGCAGGTCATAGCGCCGATGTCCTGACACAATTTCCCTCAGCACAATGTGAAACTTGGCATGCTTGTTCCTTGGAAATCGTGCATAATAAGTCACAATTCCAAGATGGCTGCGATGACGTCGTAGTCAGTTCCTGGTACATATTACGGTGGTACTTGTTTTCAAGAAAATTTACCTTTCAAGTTCAGTTGAATCTCCGATTCATTAGAATTCACAATTCCGTAGTATACTTGACATGTGTAAATACAGTGGAAATCGTCGTTTGTGGGAAATATCACTTTCAGTCTTAGCAATTCACCATCATTGTTATTATGAATGATATAAGACTTGATTAATTCAACATTAGGTTGATCCAGTGTAAATTTATCTTCCGTTGTCCACTTAACAATCTGTGTTTTCTGAAAGAGTTAGAAAAGCATGTAAACCAGTCCTACATTTCACATTTCTAGGCGTCTTTCACCATAACTAAACCATGAATGTATAGCGAGAACAACGATTATCCATTCAGACGAAGTTGATTATAGTAATTTGGCAGAGTTGTGTTACATATCGTTGCGAAGCGAACTATTAATTACAGGACAATGGGTTGTTGTATAATCTTGAACTTTATAATGTAATCTTCGATATTATATGTTTATTACCCCAGTATGTGAATGACTACCTGGATAGGATTTAACGACCTAGTTTTCTGCACAAACGGGGATAACGAAGACGGACAAACGCTGTTCGTCCAATTCCAACGACCAGACGTTGTACCTTACCAGGCCCTCGTCCTGCTCCACTAACAGGGGAGAAAGCAGGCTTAAAAATCCCGGGGAATTTTCTCACCCTACACCGAAATCGAACGTCTGATCCCCTGGTTGACCACCGTGGCTCCTTAGCTCCTTGCAACATTAAGACTGCCAGAATGTTTTATCATATAATATATTTACCGGTTCAAGTGAGTTCATTTTCTTCTTATAGATGATTATTCTGTTCGCTAGTTTAAGGCACTGATATTTCCAAACCAATTCCACATCTTTATGAATAGTTGATGTAGATGTAGTTGACGAATGTAACCATTGAAATTTTAAGTCTAAAGAAACAACATTGTAAGTAAATCAAATGACTGTACGTGTATCTATAATGTTACAAATAAAGAACAGTTTCTTAGAACAAACTAGAGTACATTCATGGAAATATACCACGACAAGGTGTGTTTGACGCCAGACTGGAACTGACGTACCTAAACAGACATCAGAGCCAGTTACCTGGCAAGAAACCAGAACACCGTTCTTCAATAACTGCATTGCGGATAAGATATACTCTCTGGATGCCCACCAAGTAACATTTACTAGACGGATTTCCTGTAAAAAGTTTACGTAATTAAGTACAGTTTTAGCTTAAAACATAGGATATTATTATGTCAATATGAAATCAATAGTAACCAGCGACATTAACGTGGGTTTGGATTGATTGATATGGGTAGGTTTTGGATCCAATTACATTCTATTACATGTACTTGTGATTGTGGGTCATCTTTAACCTGTCTTCAGCCTTCATTCTGGCATATTGTGGTTTTAAAGTGAAATAAGTTCAAGGATAACGTGGCACCAGAAGTGACATAAGTTCAAGGGTAACGTGGCACTGGTGAAACCTGTCATTACTGTTTCGCAGTTCTAGTTAACACAGAATTTGCATCTTTTCAAATTTTACTAAATATCAAAATATGGGTATCAAAACAAACCTTCCTCAAAGGTAACATTTCTTTCAGACTTAGAACATGTTTCACTGAATTCAATCACAATGTCGTACAATCTTTTAAAATCATCAGGAACAATTTTTCGTAGTGTTAGCATCACAATCCTCCTACTATTCGTCTCCTCTAGATTAAATTTCATCCTGTCATTATTTATTCTATTTATTTCAACCCCATTTTTCCATCGTACTAAAACTTCAGACTTTGTTCTAAATGGCTGAAGTATTAAAACATTATAAATCACAAATGCAATGATATAATAAGTACTTTCATACTACGCTAGAGCATGTTTATATCATGTTAATTCTGGTAAGTACTTCTATGTTACGCCAGCGGATGTCTATATTATGCTAATGATTAAGAATGTAATAAAAGCATAAGCGTACAATCCAGGGGTAGGGGGTCGAAGGCGGGAGGTTATGCACAGCAATCTGACGTTTAGGGCAGACGGGTAAAGCGAAAATTAATATATCATCTAGTTGGCAAAACAAAGCGCCCGAAATCTAAGAAAACACCAATTTTACTTTTCTTTTAATTGGATTCGGCGAATTTGTATTGAATTGACTTTGGATTAAAACATTTTATATGGAGCCACTCAGCTTTGTGCTACATTAGTGTTTTGTTGGATGATTGGAATTCAGGTCGGCATAGAGTGGGTTTTCGTTTGCAAAACTTTTGAAGTTGCCTTACTTAGCTTTAGCAAAAACAAAAACCAACGCTTTTGCAGGGTTAAATTTTCTCGGGAGGGGAGGGCGTTGTCCCATACCTCATGACGGCCAGCAAAGCGGCTCGCTCCGTGGAGAAAAGGATTGATTTGTTGATTAGAATTCAAGTCAGTCAGCTAAGTTAGACTGTATTGGACCAGAATGAAGTTACTGTATTAACAGGCTAGAATAGTAGGAAAACGTGTTTGCCAAAGTTAGATTTTCAAAAGTCAAGCCTATATTTGACCACTTTGCTGCATTCACGGGCTGAAATAGCAAGTAAACGCGTTTATACGGTCGTCAAATATTCTCGGGGAGGATCCTAGACGGTAAGCTCCGCCCCTTCGGAGCTGCCGTCTGTAAATGGACATTTTTCCGGCCATTTCAGGTTTGCCCCCTTAACATTCATCGGACCCGTACGCCTATGAATAAAATATAGCTCCACATTACTAGAGGGAATGCTTATATACAATTGACGAGCAAGATCACAGGAAGCGTGTTTATTTTATGCTACCACGCAAGGCTGTCCACAACAATTGACTGTGGAGGTTATAACGTTATTGCTCCGAATGTTTTTGGTAGGGCTGTAACAAAGCAAACTTCAAAAAATTATTTCATATAGTCTCCAAACGTTTATCATTACATCGTAGTGCTATGTATACTTACAAATAATTTGTCCGGGGTAATCATGTCTATTGAAACATTATGTTCGGCATCACTAACATATTCCCATTTAATCGTCACATCCTGTTCTAAATCAACTTGCATAAGCTTTATATCACTCATCCATTTAAAAGCTGTAAATTAATATGTAACAGACATTGCCTGAGTAGAGAAAATGAAATGAAATGGGGTTTAACGTCCTACTGTTTTGCTCCGAACTGGGCTAATGAAGACGGGCATACGCCATACAGTGTGCTATGAGGGAAATTTTGCCCGGACAGCGGCACTACGGCCTACTCTTATATCGAATTCCAACTGTCAAGGGATCTTTAACGTGCACGCCAATGTGTACACGGGACCTCGGTTTTTCGTCCCATCCGAACGACTAGACAGCTGTCCTTGTCAGCCCCTCCGTCCTGCATCACTGACAAGGGAGAACCACGCCGGAAAATCAGGATGAACTTTCTCGGCCAATGCAGGGATCGAACACCCGACCTCCAGGCTAGCGAGCCAGCGCCTTACCCACTTAGCCACCGTGATCCCCCGCCTGAGTAGAGAGAAGCTGATTGTTGTCAAATATAAAACCATCACATTTGAAATTTAAAATTGTTTGTAATTCTAATTGTATATGAGTATTCTGTTTAAATGGCATTTAGTAAATGAACACATTAAAATCAAGAGCTACGTTTCAACAATGATTCTCTTGTTGTTTTCAAGCACAATACTGATACAGACATAAACTGATATATACTATGTACGCTATATAACATTTGAAGCTAGAAAAAAGATCTACAATAAGCAGATTTAGTTAATTAATGCCAATCATCAGTGGTCTCACTAATCCTTTAAATGCACTTTGCCTTTGATCATGTTTTGATTTGTTGTTATTGCTTGTCTATATATAATTGCCCTACACATTTGTTACTGTACTTGCTTGAAAACATTGAGAGAATACTCTTCGAAACGTCGCCTAAATAAATCAGTAATTGTTCTTCCATAAGTATGTGTTGTAGTTTATTGCTCTATCCAGTTACTAAATGTCTCTTACTTTTAACCAAATAGATTATGGTTATAAAGTGATGTGGGTATTCGCAATACAAGGGTATACAGCTGGTGTTTGCAATACTAGCACCTATGGGCATTAATGTGTATGAATTGACTGCATTGTTATCTTGTAATCGGTTATTTTGTGATTAGTATATCGAATGGCTCCCGATCATCAATAATCAAGCTTATGCAATTCAAAATTGGATATTCATTTGTCAACCCGGTCCCAAACAAAACATGTTACAAATTCGGTTAATTTATTCCCAACTAAAATGTAAAAATGGATCTGCAATACTACCGCCCACACCGCTTTAAATCATAACAGACCTTTTAAACACTATCATTTTGTTAAATTTTAAAAAAAATAGCAGCATATGGACTCGCCAAATGACATGAGAAAATGGTCATAATGTAAAGTGCTCCATTCATCTGTTTTCTACACAATAAACTACAAACGTTTATTATACATATTTGTACTTTTGTATCCTATACAAAAAACTACAAACGATTATTATACAAATCGTATGAATTAAATACTACTTACCATGAACCGTTAAATTGGTGTCACGGTATGCATCTATAAAATCTATTTTACCTCTGTATAAACCAGCGTCTTTTATTGTAACATTTTTGATAGTCAGAACTATTGTTTCAAAGTTCCCGTCTTCTGTCTTATTTATTGTGTGTTTTCCATTTGTTATAATTTTGGTAATGTTTTCTCCTTTGATCTAAGAAACATACAAAATACCGTAAAGAGGCTTTAGAGATTTCATGGTCTTTCTACAGTTTCTGTAGTGCAAATCCCATAATTTATGCTAAAATTTCTAAAACAAAAAATATAGTATTTTATAGTTTTTTATAGTGTTTTCCGTAGTAAATTCTACACTTATGTTTTTGTCTTTAATCAAGTTTTGTGAACAGACTGCACAGTTGTTCCACTATCTTGAGTTTCTTGTTATTACTTACTTCTATGAAGTTGTTATACATTGACATGTACATTGAATTTAAAAAATCAAACTTCAGCCAATGAACAATCTTCTCTTGGATTAACTTTAATCAGTCCGTTAGCTAACGGGTAATGAAATTGACTTTCCAGCAACAGAAATTTAACGGACCGTTAACAAACAACACATTAGCAAGATAAGGATCCGTTAGAGTTTAACGAACGGGTCGTTAAAATAACTTAGTTTTGAGCAACTCACCCCAGGAAAACAATGTACCACTCTAACTAAAGAATTGTAACCTCTATATCTATACGATGACTTGTCAGATATATAATAAAAACCTTTAATATACCTTGAAGAAGGAGACATTTTGAATATCAGTGAGTATTCTCCATCTTAGATCAATGTCACATCCAACGGTCACTTCATATTGATCACTTTCAACAGTGAGCCATTTTAATTCCTTGGAATGGTGTTCTTTAAAAAAAATGATTTATCAATTTTATGGAACATTTATAAACATGTTTAACATTGTCTTCCCGTCGCCTCACTTTATAGCTTAAGGGTACAGTGTGTAAGATTTTAGATAAATGAGTAACCGTTCTTGCTATAACTAACAGTTTAAAAATAAAATATTAAAAATTGAATATATTAAAAATTGCAGTCACGTTATATTATTTTACTCTGAGCGAAGTCATGGATGTTTGAAGTTTTGACAAAGTTGAGCCTAAATAGTCTCGATTGGTGCGGAAACTCTAATCCAGTGATTCTCAACCAGTGTGCCGCGAAATTTTAAACGGCAAACTAAGAAAATGCGAAAAGCCACTTGATTCGAATTGAGTATTCACTGGTGTCTACTGATGAGTTCATAGCTGTGTTTTTCTTTATTTAGTTTGAGTCATTCTGTTTCTATGACTAGGTCTGTGTTTACGGTTGTATGCCGTCTATGACAAGCAAGCATGTAATTTTACAGATCTTACGTTTATTCACATTATTTTGTAAATTTACTTTTAGGTTAGAAATATAATAAAATTATAGCAGTTCTCACTATAATAGTTAAAATCTAATGTAAAGGGAATATGTTGAAAATTTCTGTCAAATTGCTCCACTCTGAACCTAGATATTAGCGATTGAATGTTAGGCATAGCCTCGATCATCATTACTAAAGTCGTGCGATAGAAAACATAGTCTCGATTATCCACTTTTGAATTTTATGAGCGTTGAGCCCCACATCAGACTCAAATCCAGTGAAAATCCGGACCCATAAGGTGGCATCGAGAGTTGATTATGGTCTTTTCATGTTAATAAATGTCTAATTAATAGTTTATATAACATTTCAGGCCTAAAGAAAGACCTGTAATAGGCCGATTTAGCTCTTGCATAATGTATGTTTAACGTATTGGTAGTTATCGTATTCGGTAAATTTATTGTCTCTTAGCATGCAATTTTACAGATTTTACGTTTACTCACATTATTTTCTAAACTTTCAGGTTAGAAATATAAGTAAAATTACAGCAATTAAATTATTTGTTTTTACCATAAAATGTTCGGAATATTTACCAAAATGTTGTATATTTACCGAGTTTATTCTTTTTTCACAATAAACTTTGATGAAATCAAAGTCACATTAAAAGATACATGCTTACATATGTAATATTTCAATAATGAACTGAAAATAGTAGATTTACATTTATTCACATTATTTTGTAAATCTACTTATTGGTAAATTTACGGTCTCTTATTTTATTTTAGTATTCCATAGCAACGAACCATTCCTAATAATTACCTTCTTATAGTATTCATTCTAATTTATTATCCATAATATGGACAATCACATTTTGTGAAATTTGGTATATTGCATATCATGTATATCTAATTTCCATTATTTATGCGATCTATAACGTGTATTGTTATTCATCGTACGTTAATCAGATTGTAAGTATGTTCATAAGCGTATAAAAAAATGTTTTATCTTTCCGGCAATAGGTTGTGTTATCTCGTAATCAAGCTCGTTTGAAGACGGTTAATTAAACCGATTGGCCAGTGTTAGCTGGACTGTCTCTAAAGCAGATTTTCAATGCCTGCAAGTAGAGATTTGAAAGCCTGGAACCGCCGCAAGCACTGACGAGCGGCGGTTTCAAGCTGTGTTACCTTTTGGCTGACAATTTGGTCTCGTCTGCCAAAAAGGGGCCTGTTTCACGAAATTTTAACTAAAATGAAAATCCAAATTTTAGCAATTTGATTGGATAATATTAGATTGATTTTAGTGCTTAGCCAATCAAAAATGGTGTATCTACTAAAATTTGTATTTTATCTCCAGTTAAAATTTTGTGAAACAGGCCCCAGGATTAGTCTTATGTTTTCGGTACGCTAGAACAAGCGGAGTGTTAAATGCCTTATTCATTTGATATATTATTTCTTTTTCAGGTTAAAATAATATGATTACGGTGAAATTGTTGTTTAACTAAAAAAAAAACGGTAAACGGAAATTACAGTCATTGTGTTTTTTAACATTTGTCTGTAATTTACTGCTTTTAGGTAAATTTACATTTGGAAGTTAAAAGACAAACTTACTGTAATCATCCATTTACTATGTTGCGGTTAATTTACAGACCGAAGTTAAAAGACAAACTCATAGTTATTTTCCATTTACTGTTTTCGGGTAAAGTTACACACAAAGTCAAATTACAGAAACTCCGTAATATTACAGCTGAATGTTTATATACAGGAAATTTACTGGCAACTATAGCTGCCAGTAATTTTCATGTAAATTTACACGATTTTTTCTAACAGTACCCGGGCAAAATTTCCTCATAGAACACTTGTGTGGCGTATGCCTGTCTTTATTATCCCAGTCGGAACAGAAAAGTAGGACGTTAAACCCCATTTCATAGTTGATTACGGACTTGTCATGAAATGTCTGAATATTAATTTATATTACATTTGAAGCAAGAAAAAACATGCAATAAGCAAATTTAGCTATAATATCTTCAACCATATAGTTCATAAAGTGATGTGGGTATTTCCTATATAAATTGACTACAACGCCATCTTGTTATCAGCTATTTTGTGATTAGTCTATTGAATAGCTCCAAATTATCAATCAGACTAAGTAAACTTAGGCAATTCAAAATTGGGTACTCTTTTTTGTCAACCCGGTTGCAAACATACATTGTCACAAATTCGCTTTGAAACTTTGTAGATAAATTAACCTATTATTGTAATTGTTTCTTTGCTAATTAAAATTTATCGGATGCGTTTCCATGGATATAAGTTAGAATTAGTTTTTGTTATGCAATGTTTATTCATAAACAATTCAAGTTATCTTTTTCAAATTGTGTATATATCGCAACCTATTTTAGTACTAACTAATTAGAAATTTCCTTCGATTAAACTTTTTTGTGTTTCCATGGATACAAATTTGACTTAGTTGCTGGTATTCAGTTTTTATTCCGGATATCTTCATTAAACTTTGTACACATATCAACCTATTATAGTAATTGTGCCTTTTGCTAAAGGGGGTTGGGGGTGGATGGCACGTGCGGGCTATATCATACCGTCTGTCACTGAGTCAACTAGCGGGGTTTCGATTCCCCGGCTGTACGTGACAAAGAGTAGGATCGCCTGTCCAACCTCCTGGTTTTCTCCGGGTCCTCCGGTTTCCTTCCACTGCTAAAGGCCCCTACGCACAAGAAAATTGTTAAAATAAAATTGAACCATGTGTCCCGAAATGACCTAGTTTGTGTCGAGTGGACGTTAAACCCCATTTCTCTCTCATCCCCCCCCCCCCTGACCTTTTTGCTAATTATAAATTTCTCCATTTTAGAATGTTTTGTGTTTCTGCTGAAAACGTATATTTTTTTTTATTAAAACCTGTCATATTTCATCTTTTGTATATTTGTATACCCCCACACTGATGTCACCCATGTCCGTCCCGTCCGTCCACTGTGGGCTTGTTAAGGGGATAGGCTACAGTGTTTAACAGATCTTTAACAGGCTAAATGGCAGGCAGCTAGTTTGCCAAGGTTTTGGTATAACAATTACAACAAATCTGTAACCACTGAATTACAGTGAGTGGTAAATTATACGATTAAATGGCAGGCAGCTGGGTTTCCAAGGTTTCTTCGTAAAAATTACGCGTCGTAATTTTAACGACAAAACCTTGGCAACTTAGCTACCAGCCAATTAGTCGTAAAAATTAGGGTAATAGAATTACAGTGTCTGTATTGTTGTGCTTAAACACAAAATATTCCAGACTAAAAGTAAAAATTGACCCTCAATACTACTCTCTCTCTCTCTCCCCCCTCTCTCTCTCCCCCCCTCTCTCTCTCTCTCTCTCTCTGGGTGGGGTATTGGCGTGGGACTTTCGATCATAAGGTCTGTCACTGAATCAAGTGGTGTGGTGTCAACGAGCTTGATCGCTTGCCTAACCTCGTGGGTTTTCTCCGTGCTCACCACCTCTTCTCACTGCTAAAGACCCCTACGTGTAACCGAATAATTGAAATAAAATGTACAATATGGTCTAGTTTTTGTTGCGTGGACGTTGACGTTTAGCCCCTCCCCCTCCCCCCCCCCCCTTTACCTACCTTCAATAAAATCAGCAAGCAGTCTGTGTAACCGAATATTTGAAATAAAATGTGCAATATGGTCTAGTTTTCGTTGCGTGGACGTTGACGTTTAGCCCCCTGCACCCTCCCTCTCTCTCTCTCTCTCTCTCTCTCTCTCCCCCCCCCCCTTACCTACCTTCAATAAAATTAGCAAGCAGTATACAGAGCAAGATTGAATGATAAACATCCATGTTACTGAAATATATAAAACGGTATGAAATAATAATAATAATATTTCACTTTTTACATGTCTGCACCAACAGGAATTATGATGACAGGGACATGCTTTGAGAGACATTTTGCTCGGACAGGGACTCCACGCCTACTCTTATTTTGATTTCCAAGTGACAGGTATCGTTAACGTGCAGGACTTTGGGTATCGTTGGAATAATATTGTGGCCTTACCCTTGACTAATTGTTGTTTATAGATTCTTGGTCAAGCAAAGTAACACCTGAAATAATATAAATCTACGTGAATTGTACTATAGGTTAATAAATATATTTGTCATATGTCATCTTCATGGTCAGGAATGGAATGTGTCTGTTGGCCAAATTTAGTAATAGGTCCCTCCCAGAGTGCAGTGTAGGAGGTATGTCTACTCCATATTTGTAAAATGGGACCGTGGTCCGTCTATGACGCAAACAAATTAAGGTGTGAGCACCATCACTGTAAAAGAGAGTGGGGGGGGGGGGTAGTATTTGGGCAGAACTCACACCACCTGACATAACAGCCATTTACTTATTTGAAAGCGAAGAAGATTTGTGACTAATGCTAAAAGTTTGTTATATAAATAAAAAAACACCAGAAAGAATCAAACCCTGAACTGTAGTTATAATTTTCGTCACGGACGTGAAGGCAACGCGAAGCTCGAATAGTACTACATCGTTCGCTTTTAAAGGACAACATTGGTGTCAGTCATTATTACATATTTGATAGAACTGGTTAAATACATTCCAAATATAATTTCAACACAGAGATCATTGCTATGGGAGATGTGTAACAAGCACGTGAAGAAACGGGAAGTGACGCCAAACATGACAAACACGAGTTATCCTTCTATATAACTGACTGAAGTAACGAGCGATAACAGACAAGCGATCGAATTTCATTTCACTGATAATTCCGTTGAAGATGTAAAGTTATTATATGGGACGGTGAAAGGGTCAGCTCAAATCGGGCTATATTGCGCCAAATATATGTGAATAGGTTTAGTTAGTAATCAAATACAATGGAAAAGAAAAACAAAAAATATCGCATATTAATTAAAATAACCATAAACATTCTAGCATTTCTATAATTAGGTTGTTGGTCAGTTCAAGCATTTCAAGCATGCAAGATCGCGATGTTACCGTTGCCAATCATAAACATTCTAGCATTTCTATAATTAGGTTGTTGGTCAGTTCAAGCATTTCAAGCATGCAAGATCGCGATGTTACCGTTGCCAATCACTACATCACTTGTTTGCCCAACCTGAGTTATATTGCGAAATGCTAACATTTTTTTTTTATTATAAATATTAATTTGTGTATATAAATGTTATATTTTATATTTTAAATGTTTATAGGCATAAAAGAGTCTTATTTTTGATCTACTGTGATATTTGTGCATACAAATTTTGTGTGATATATAATTTAACCTGTCTATATATTTGGCGCAATATAGCCCGGTGGGTACTGACGTGCCATTAAACAATATTTCATTCATTCATTCTAAAATTAGGTGAGAATAAAATGAAATCTTGTGTAAGGATATGTCAACTTTAAAATATTTAAGATATAAACATGAAAAGGATGCATATGTATGTGTGGTTAAATGGTCGAGAGAGAGAGAGAGAGAGAGAGAGAGTTTAACGTCCACTCGACACAAACTAGGTCATTTCGGGACTAATACATGGTTCAATTTTCTTATTTCGCTTGTGCGTAGGGGTCTTTAGCAGTGGGAGGAAACCGGAGGACCCGGAGAAAACCCTTGAGGTTGGACAGGCGACTCTATTCCTTGTCACGTACAACCGGGGATTCGAAACCACGCCAGTTGACTCAATGACAGACCTTATGATACAGCGCGTACTTTCTAACCATTCGGCCATCCAACCCCCTTAATGGTCGAGAGCGAGACAGTAAGTAATATATTGAAACAACACGAGTGGTGTTAAGCTCGAGACCATTAAACAACTTACAATACAGACACTCGCACGTGCTTTTCAATGAAATACATCACATGGTTCCAAAATTTTAACTAGAATAAATCATGTACGCTTGGCACATTACTCGTACCATTATTTGAAATAATGATTGATACGTACGCCAACATCAAAGGATGACGTCACAACTGTATTTTAAATATATTTAATTAACATTTATATAATAAAAACATGTCTCTCAAAAAATGAGTCTAAGTTTATTCTGAAATGATATTTCTGGGTACTAATTACATTTATTTTCTTGTCAGAAGTTGCAATGTCACTTTAAAATTACATTATATTACTTTATACTTTCATTCATGATCAGGCGGGAGTAGGTAAGTTTGACACTCTTGCAGTAAATCGATTACAAACATATGAACTTGTCATTTGGACCGTGAATTGTACTGCCCGTATTCAACAATTATTTTATTCAACATTTTACAATAGAAATTGTTATTTTAAGAAAATTATCAATGGTCGTGTAACAAAAGCATTTAGTATTTATATAACAGGCATGTGTAATACTGAACATAATGATCAATGGTTTTATTCAAAGCAAACCATGACTAGATGTGACGTATACAGTTTAAATTTATTATTATATTATTATTATTATGTGTGAAGAAAATGTTTTCGGGTTCATGGACAATATTTTTTTAGATACTATTTCAATGGCAATGGGTTTGATAGCCTACAATTTTGAACGTAGTCGTCATCACGTTTTCCACTTGCACGACGTTGGGTGACACGGGTTAAGATATCCGGTCAAACTCAGGTGAATCCCATTAATTGTTATACACCGGAACTTTCTCGACATAGCACCGGAAGCTAACCCGAGACCTGGTTAGCGAGCCAGCGTCTTACTGTGTCATCAGTGGGTCACATCATCGCAAAGCTGTGGCCAAGAAATGACAGAGTTGGGGTTAGTAAAGACAGCAAAATATCCTACGCCAACCGATAATCCACCTAGAATGATGCTTGTTATGTGTCGCCCCCTTCCCCCGCCCCTCTGCGTACACCAATCATCAATTCACGTAACTGAAAATACACATATGGTTTGTGTAATGTGTGGTACATCGGAAATGAAATTTATTTCTTGATTATCTAATTTTAGGAACAAAAGGAATTACAGATTAATAGAGTGACTAGATTTGTAATGGTACTTCTGGTTCTGGATACAATGGGGGTTGGGTGGCCGAATGGCTGGGGCGTGCGCGCTGTATCATAACGTCTGTCATTTATACATAGAAAGGGGGGGTTTGGGTGTCCGAATGGTTAGCGCGTGTGCGAAGTATCATAAGGTCTGTCATTGAGTCAACTGGCGTGGTTTCGATTCCGCGGTTGTACGTGACAAGGAGTGGGGCACCTGTCCAACCTCGTGGGTTTTCTCCGGGTCCTACGGTTTCCTCCCACTGGTAAAGACTCTACGCGCAAGCGAATTATTGAAATAAAATTTAACCATATGTTAGTCCCGAAATGACCTAGTTTGTGTCGAGTGGACGATAAACCCCATCTCTCTCTCTCTCCCTCTCTCTCTCACACTCCCTCTCTCTGGATACAATAACAAACCCGGTGAAAATATTTCTACCCAACCCTGTCGAGACATGTCGAAGTATATGGATGAAAGAATCAGAACTATATGATATAACAGAGTCTTGGTGACTGCTGATTTTGCATGAAGACCGGGATCTTGTGGAGGTCGATTTGTAACATATCTTAGATAAGTTGTATCTTGACACCGGCTGTTCTTACGTGCCATTAAACACCATTTTATTTCATTGGCACTGGTTGGGCAAGATGATCACAATAGGCTGATAGGGTTGACAATACTCAAGGTAGCGAAAAAAATTCTAAACGCATAACGCAAAGCGTGTCATTGCGTGATCTCTGGAATGAATCAACGCATGAACGTTATACAGATACATCGCTGAATGAATTATTATCATAACAGATTTTCCATTGAGAATTTACCGGATATTCTAGCCAAGTCAAATTATGACTTTAAAACCAAAAAGGGGTACAGTATGAACGAGATGCATCGCTAAAATGAAATGGGGTTTAACGTGCTACTGTTCTGCTCCGAACTGGGCTAATGAAGACAGCGGCACTACGGCCTACTCTTATATCGAATTCCAACTGTCAAGGGATCTTTTACGTGCATTCCTATGTATACACGGGACCTCGGTTCTACGTCCCATCCGAACGACTAGACAGCTGTCCTTGTCAGGCCCTCCGTCCTACATCACAAGGGGGAACCACGCCTGGAAATCTGGATGAACTTTCTCGGCCAATGCAGGGATCGAACACTCGACCTCCAGGATAGCGAGCCAGCGTCTTACCCACTTAGCCATCGTGATCCCCTGCATCGCTGAAATAAATATATTATACATAATACCATTTCTCTCTAGTATTTAGAAGATGTTTAGCCAAATCAAATTATGGCTTTAAAACAAATATGAGTGCAATTACTTTTCTTACCTATGAAATGATCAGCAGAATGTCGAACGTTGGAGAAACAACATACCTTTGAAAGTCAAGTGTATTTATGACAAGTATTAGACATGTTTGGTTTCGATCGGGAAAGATTTCTTAACAATAAAATAGCCATTCGCTTTATGGTAATAGCTAATCACGCGTTCGTGTTACAAAAATAATATGTACACCTTAACTCTTTCTACTACACATGTACGTAATATATTCAAAGTCCCCTCAATAAGAAGGCGTTTATCGTCCACTCGACACAAACCAGGTCATTTCGGGACGAACATATGGTTTAATTTTATTTCAATAATTCGCTTGCGCGTAGGGGTCTTTAGCAGTGGGAGGAAACCGGAGGACCCGGAGAAAACCCACGAGGTTGGACAGGCGACCCTACTCCTTGTCACGTACAACCGGGGATTCGAAAAGGCGTTGAACAAGAAAATAAAAGAAGTGAATACATGTATATATTAAATCAGTATGATTCTAATTAGATAGTTTTCTAATTCCCTTATTTCTGTATTTCTTAT